ATCCAGGGATCAGATATTGTACAGCACCTGCACTATTGTAGGTACGCAGTGCATACTATGCACGTCCATGTGGTAATAGCTAATAATAATATATATGTACCGTATAACTCCTGTCCTAAGCAAACGCGTTTCCTAAGCGAACAATTTATATAACCAATGGTATAAGCATATTTATAGCATATGTTAGCCAGTAAAGTTGGGGTAAGTACCAACTAAAAATGGATCAGCTGTTGGTTGAGGCTGGACACTTACTTTAGAAGTTTACAGCACAGCGATGCCGCGGCCTCGTATCACCGGGACGGGAAGGAAGAAGAAAACGTATAACCGTATTGCGGTCGACTACAGCCATAAGCTTCAAATTTCTCGATCGGCTTGAGGACGGAGACACAGTAGGCGAGGTTATCAGCGCGTTCTACCCCAACATCAACCAAGCAGAAAAAAAGAGAAAAAAAAAACAGAAGCAGATATCGAAATGGAAAAAGCAAGCTAACTTATTAAGTCTGTGTGTGAAGAAGGCAAAGGGCGCTTAGAGAACTACCGTAGGCGCGGTGATGCGACAGTTCTCCCAGCTCAGGCGGAGAGCGACATCGTACTTTGGCTTAACACGATGAGGAAGGAAGGCTGCCCGGTATCAGCTAAAATGCTGGAGCTTAAGGCGATTGAAGTTGCCGCAGACGGTGGTATTTCTAGCGAAGCTTCAGCGCTTCGTATTCATGGAGGTGGCGCTTTATGCGTAGGCACAAGCTTTCTGTACGTGCGCGGACGCCACAGGGCCAAACCACTCCTGAGGATACTGTAGCAGCGAGGACCAAATTTCGTGGAGAAGTTCGGGCGGCTATCGTTGAGCACAACATCATAAGGTCTATAACGCGGACCAGACAGGTATGCGTTATATAGATTACAGTTCACTAAAGCTCTCTAATGCTGTACGGAAGCTGTGTTCTTTGAATACCTACCTCGCAAGACTATCACCATGCGAGGTGAGAAGACTGTATGGGAGAAGTGCAGCGGCAAAGATAAGGAGCGAGCAACAGCAATGCTTTTGGCAGATTGGCACGGCAACAAGCGGGCTCCCTTTCTGGTGTTCAAGGCCGGTGTTTCCTGTCATCGACATGTATAAGAAGAAAACGATTCTAAACGGCATGGCTTTGGCGTTCGCTTGTGGAAAGAGATTGCTCCTCTTCAAGCGAAGCATCACTGCCAAATCTATGAGAACCCTACTGCCTGGTGGAATATCGACATCTCGGTTAAGTTCTTGGACTATCATTTTGGCCACCGAGACAACATGCATGAGAAGAGCCTCCTTCTGTGGGATGACTTCTCGGGACATTGGACCGAAGAGGTCACTCAGTACGTTGCGTCAATCAACGTTGTCCTTCTTAAAGTCCCACCGCGCTATACATATGTATGTCAGCCCGACGACGTGGCTTGGAATCAGCCATTCAAGTCGCGCTTACGAAGGCAATGGGTCGAGTGTCTTCGTGGTCAGATCTCGGACCGCCATGCAAAAGAAAAGCAGCGCAAGGACAAAACACTCGAGATAGCAAAGGAAATAGCAACGGTGGCACGAACGGATATTCAGGGTGTGGCAAAAGACAAGGTCGTACAATTACAAGAGAAGCTCCCACGAATGGCGTTTGAAATGGTGGCTCCGAAACGCCACGAGATCACTGCGTGGATTGCAGAATCGTGGTCAGAGCTCAGTGCTGATACTATCGTGAGTGGATTTGCTAAAACCGAGCTGCTCCCAGATACACGCAGCCCTGTTGTCGCT